GTAGGCTAGTTTCTACACACACTTGCAATCCCCCTTCTACCCTCTATGCAGGCAAGCAAAAGGCATTGTTAGGGTTCAAGGATACATTCCAGCCAGGCAAAATCATGCAAGGAGGATACAAACCAGGGCCAGTGAGGGGTGTGGCTTGGGGAGAGTCCATAGGGCCAGGTAGAGAGGCTTGGGGGGCCGCCTTTGATTCCTGGAAGTTTGGCTCCGCAGCCCTGATATAAAGCAACCCAAGAGGAATGAAGATTGAAAGGGGGGGGAGTCATAGCTGTGCCTCTTCTCGGTGCTTCAGGTAGGTCTACATTGCTAAAAGCAAATATGTGACTATGGAGTTATTATTTTTATTTTCTTGGTGCACTTGTAGTTTAGCAAACAAACAAAGTCAAACACACAAAAGCAAGCCTTTTGAAAAGTAATAGGATAATTAGCTGTTTGGCCGGGAAAGAGAAACATCCAGGAAAATGCAGGGCATGCTCTGTTGAGAGGCAGGGCTGCACCAGTTACTGCAGGTCTTGTTTAGACCACACCAAAGAGGTTGATGCTGCAGTTGCATTCAGCAACTGAGGAGTGGGTGGAAATGGCCACAAAGCCGGTTTTTAGAAAGACTGCGGAACAGCAGAGAAAAGCAAAGCAACTTCATCTGGGTTCTCCCCAATAAAGGAGTGCACAAATGATGTGGCTGGAGTGGAAGCAAACTGAATTCCTTCTACTGTAAGAGCATTCTTCAAACTCTTCCCACGCATTACAGTTTCTTTTCAGCCACTAAGAGGCAGCGGAGTCCTCTTTTCTCTTCTAACAGGTGCTGCGGCAGTAGCAGGTAACAGTTAGCTAATGAATCTATGCTCCATAGCACATTCTGACTTTGTGCTAGCATTGAATTGCCCAGAGTCAATCCTGGTCTGCTTCTGTGCCATGAACAGTAGCTTGATCTGCAGGAGCAACAGCAGTAGCTTTTCGCAGCACAGAGAGAAGCATTGCCCCCTCTTTATGGCAGCTGAACAAGGTGCTGTGAAAAGGCATAAGAGCAGGAGGCTAGTTTAAAAGTTGGCAGCCCAGTTTTTACATAACCCTGAACATGCACCAGAGATGACTTGAGTGATTCACACACCTTCCCTATGAACTTCTAAGTTTCATGCAGAGACAAACTCTCACATCTGGTCCCAAAAACTGCAAAGAAATTTCAGGAGAAATTCACTTGGAAGTTCATTGCACACAAATTCATTCCAGCCCTAGAACTGCAATTTTCTTCTTCATCAAATCCTGCAAGAATGGGGAGTCTGTGGCCTCTAGATATTGTGGGACTGTAACTCCCAGCAGCCAGCACCAGGAATGTTGGAAGTTGTAGTCCAGCAACATCTATAGCGCCACACCTTCCCCATTCCTATTCCTGAGTCTTTTAATTGGATGACACCCCCTATTTCACTCCCAGTAACCACTGGATGCCACTGATGTTAGAAAGATGCAAAAGCAGCAATATTTACACCTATTGTCACAAGCTCTTGTCATGCCACGCTTGTGTTATCAAACTCTTGCAAGCTTGCAAAATACTCCCATTGCTTGTCTAAGTAAGACATGAAAATATGTGTATCCCCAGACACAACTAAGAACAAAATAAGGCAATTTCTATTTTGGGGGCCAAATAGGGGGGGGGTGTTTGGGTGGGGGGTCCGTAGGTTCACAACAAGTTTTTTTGAAGATACCTAGGAAAGGGATCCTAGCAAATCAGGAACCTTGGTCAGCAAATGCATATCCAGAGCATTGGCTGGGGTAAAACTAGGAAGGAGAGATGGGTAGGGTGGGTGAGACTGGTATGAAAAGCGCTCAGTGCTCCCTTCCCTCCCATTCCTTTCCATTTTAAATTGCTCCCAGTGGGCAAAGAAGCCGTGGGGCTCCGTTGCAAGCAGTGGCAACGTAACAGGGAATTTGCTTTCTGATGGAATGGTGTGTGTAGCCATTGTGTATCCTTGCCAAGTCAAGACAGACAAGCGAGGTGTGGGGAGTCTATGTCAGGAGCTTGTGTCTCTCCTGCTTCGTACTTGGAAAACCCTTTAGCTTAAGGTGCTTCCAAAGGAAGGCTTTGCCAGGAAGCATTTCACAGATGGCTGACCTATGGTTTTGAAGCAACATCCTGCTGGCTCCCGTCTCCATGGCTGGTGTGACTGAAGTGTTAGGTCTAGCAGCAACCAGTATCAGAGGCAACAGTGGAAGTCATCAAGCCAGCCATTTGCAGAAGTGCAGTGATTGTTGGGTGAAGCCACTGCCCAGGAGCCCCCTGGGGACATTTGAAGGCCAAGCGTTTTATTTATTTACTTTTATTCATTAGCTTTATACACCACCCTTCATCAAAAGATCTCAGGGCAGTTTCGTGAGATTCAGCTTGTCAGAATGTCGCCCTCATTGTAGAGAATAGGAGCCACACTCCAAAAACATAACCAGAACCCTGCTGGGTCAGACCAGAGGCCTGCCTGGTCCAGCATCCTCTTTTCGCAGTGGCAGACATGATATCTGTGGGAATCCCCTAAAAGCAGGGCATGAAGCCAGTAGTCCCTCTCCAGCTTGTGGTCCTCATTCACCAGTCTTCAAGAGGCCTGTCCCCTCTAATACTGGGGAGTTATTTATCTATTTCTCAGCATTATTTATACCCCACACATCTTATCGGGTTGCCCCAGCCACTCTAGGCGGCTTCCGACACATATAAAAACATAATTAAATGTCAGACATTAAAAAAACCTTCCCAATACAGGGCTGCCTTCAGATGTCCTCTAAAAGTTGTGTAGTTTATCTCCTTGACATCCGACGGGAGGGCGTTCCACAGGGAGGGCACCACTGCCAAGAAGGCCCTCTGCCTGGTTCCCTGTAACTTCGCTTCTCGCAGTGAGGGAACCCCGTAAGTGTTTTACGTACTCATAATAAGACCTCATAAGTATTTTTCAAAAAGAATAAAACAAACTATCGTTTTTTTTTAAAAAGCAGTTAAAAACCAGTATTTGAAATGATTAAAAAATAATTAAAATCAACAATAAATTAAAGCCAGATTAAAGCACCCGACAGCTTCTACGTGTATGGATAGTGAAGGCACCTGCTTGGTGTCAGTAAGCAGATGGTTCCCAAGTGTGGTAGCTTCCATGCTAAAAGATCAGTTTCTTACAAATGTGAACTGTTATGCAGCACCTAAGACCCTGCCAGTTCCACAGATTGAAGCAGTCAAGTGGCCCTCTATGGGACAAGGCGCTCTCACAGGTAAACTGATCCCAAGCTGTTAAGGGCTTTGTATACTAACAATAACACAAGCAGACAACCAGTGCAGATTCTCTCTCCCATCAGCAATCGTGCGGCAGCATTCTCCACTAAGTTCAGCTTCTGGGTCCAGCACATGAGCAGAAGCCGTTGTTAGCTTTATCCTCAGTGAAGCTGCCTAATCCCCTTTTAAAGCCCCCCAAGTTGGTGCCCCCACCCCTCACGCCGTGTGCTAGAAACTTCCATGGTTTAGCTGGGTGAAGAAGTCCTTCCTTCTGTTTGTCTGTCCTGAGTTTTCCAACATTCGGCTTCAGAAGGAGGCTCTGGGGTTCCGCTCCTCCTGCCTCCTTGTTCATGCCCAATTTGTGGTCTCATCCCGTGACGCCATTTGCAGGCAAGATACGTTTGAATTCATGCTTTACTTATCACAACATAGCTGCCCGCCTAAATATACAGCAGCAACCACTGCTGCATAATATCGTAATTGTAGCTGTCTGCTGTTGTCATCGCTCTCGATATTCCCCTGTAAGAGGCCAGCCGGCCTACTCCAAACCCATCCTTCGCTTCTGTGATCTCGTCTGGTCATCCTCATTATCTCCTGGTGGTTTTATATATGCACATAATTTCAGGGACCTGTTGGCTTACCTCAGAAGCCAAACAAGCGAAAACATCCTCACCCCCCGCTTCCTTCCTCACCCCACTTCCCCTCAAAAAACTGGGTTTTCTGTGTTTGGGGTTTTTAAGTACGAAAGAACTCCTCATCTTTATCTCCTCTCCCCTTTTTTATTATTTTTTTGCTTTTCTTCCTCAGAAAACCAAAAGGGATGTAAATAACTTTGATCAAGACTTTACACGAGAAGACCCAGTATTAACAGCAGTGGACGAGACAATTATAAAGCAGATCAACCAAGAAGAATTTAAAGGCTTCTCATATTTTGGGGAAGAGCTGCTGCCATAAGAAGTCCCCAGCATGCCGTTTGGGGCCACCAGTTCACTGACACTGCAGAGGTGGTTTTCCGCTACCCAGTCAAGAGCTACTTCTCTGACCTTGAGCCCATAACCCTTACTTTCTACTATGTCTATCTATTTATTGTTATTTTCCTTTTGTCCTTGAGCTGGAGGCACTCACGATTTCCATCTCACAAAGGAACGCAAAATATTTTGTGCCAGAAGTAGTTCGTGAAGGTAACACATTGCTGTTGTTTCTTGCTGCTGCTGCTGCTGCCCCCTCTCAATTTAGGATATTTCCTGTTGTTCTCCAGAAGGCCACGACTTGTCCTCCCCACCCTCATCTAGCACCTTCATAAAATCATGGAATTTTAGAGTTGGAAGGGGAACACGAGGGTCATCTAGTCCAACCCCCTGCAGTGCAGGAATCTTTCACCCAACGTGGGGCTCACACCTGTGAGAGTCTCGTGCTCTGTCGACTGAGCTATCCTGGCAGAACTAATTCATTCTGCCATTTGGGAGATTTTTTAAAAAGTCACTAGAAAGCTTCCCCTTCCCCCTGACCTGAGGAGATTTCTGACAGCCAAATAGAGCAGCTTTGAGGGCTGTGTTTGACTTCTAGGCACAAGGTTCTCCACTCCTGCTAACAGTTTTCCAAGACATGGTAAACGACCGTCCCATTGCACACACACCTCTCAAGTGTACTAAACAAACACTTAGACTTGCTTTCTTGCCCCTGTGGAACTATCATAGAATTGTAGAGCTGGAAGGGCCATGAGGACCACCTAGGTCAACCCCCTGCAATCTTTTGCCCCAGGTGGGGCTTGAACCCGCGACCCTGAGATTAAGAGTCTCATGGTGTCCCGGCTGAGCTATCCAACCCAAACCAATAGGTGGGGATAAAGTCACCTTGTGTTGACTTTCCTGAATCGAATGTGAATTGGTCCATCGCATTTGCTGTGGCAGCACAGCATAGCTGTCGGAAGCCGATTCCTCAAATACGGACAGACAGCTTTAGGATCAGCCATTTGCCTTTCGCAGAAATACCCTTCCGTTTCTTTTTAATGGAAAGAGACCTTCAGGACGCTGCAGTTCTGTGGGTAAGCAAGGGGCCCATGGCACTAGAGTTCACCTCCAAGCTTTGATCCTCTTAGGCTCAACCGTGGCCGGTGGGCGGAAGTCAGGAAAGCGAAGACAGCAGCAGGTGGAGTCACAGCCAGTGATGGGCAGAGGCAACCAAGTCTACTTTTGCCCCCACCCCTCCTCCCCGCCAAGTTCTACAAAGGTAACACTGAGACTAAGGAGGAGGGGGCTGGCAGACAAGTGCCATCTTTCGGGCTGCTTGTGTGTTAAGAAGACAGGTAGGTGGGACACCCTCTGCTTCTTAGGCTTAGGAGTTGCGTTTTAAGCAGAAGGCAACGCACATTCTTTCTCTTCAAAGTTCTGCTGCGTTGGGCTTCCTAGTTCAATTGAACCAGGCCATTGCATGCTAAGGGCATCTACGGCCCACAGTACTACCAGCTTGAGCTCAGGGCAAAGGAGCCTGGACAGAGGTTTCCCCGCTCTTTGTTAATACTGATGAGAACAGAGGCCATCAGTGCAGAAGGGATGAAGGGACTATAATGTGCATGGTTGCTACATAATTCCCACAGCTGTACTAAGATTCTTCTAAGGCAGAACGCCTGCGTGTGCTCAACCTAGGAGTAAACCCTGTTGCACGCAGTGGGGTTTATCTCCAATTAAGCATGCGCACGATTGCGTGAAAAAGGCAGGCTTGGAAGTAAATATTCAGCTCCCTACTAGGTGCTTCCAGAAATCTGTCCCGGCAACATTTTTAGCCCTCATAATGCAGGGTTTTGCGAGGGAGACATCTCCCTTTACCTCCTTCTCTCTGCTGGCTGTACCCTTGAGCTGCTTGCCAAGCCTTACCACAAAGCCATAAGTGAATGGGACACAGATATTTTACCGTGGATCTTGAAATAAATACACCCAAAGACGCACTTCTCTGCAAAGCTAATTGCTGAGTGAAAAAAAACCTGCCTGACTGAAGGACTGATAAAAATAGTCAGGTAAAGCTGCCATGGAAAGTCTTAAAGATTATATCAGGAAAATTGCTCCCCACCCCCCATCCCAAGATACGAAACAATGTTTTTTTAAAAAAACAACAACAAATAAACAAATGTTTTATTAAATCATAAAATCAAAACAGACAGACTTAGATGCTTTATAGACAGATGTTAAAGGGCTAAAGATTGGGCAAATTCTCAAAAAAACCCAACCTGTAACTGCTTTAATAAAGCAGTGTAGGTTTCCTGCAAATCTTACAGCTTCTCCGACGTGTACATAGTAATACTTCCGTAGGGAAACTATTTTAGAAACTGGTACCTGAATCATTCATGTCATTGATGCAATGACAGGTGTGAAGGGGATTTTTTAAGAAAGATGCTTTTTAAAGGAATCATTGTATTGAATCTGGGTGATGTCCCACTCTACTTTTACTTTTAACAGCAGTGTGTTACTTTTGCAGGCTTTTACAAAGGAGAAAAATGGGCATGGTTCTTTGTGCATAGCCTTTTCCCTCTCCCTCCCTTCTCTGCTGGCCTTGAGCCAGGAGCAGCCCACCACAAGCCCGTGTGTCGATGCAGAAACCCTTGCCCTTCTCAGGGCTGTGTGCAGAGGTTGCTAGAGCTATCTGTGCAAATGCCCTGGGAAAGAGAGGGCTGCTTTCAGCTAGCATCGCCGATACATACATAGCAGGTAGTGGCTGAGGGTCAAACTAGCTAAACGTCTTTGCATCTCGCATGCACTTGAAAAATAAATGCACCCAGCAGCTGCATTTCCTCCCAATGCAAACAGCAGCTTCAGAGGAGCTGTTTTTATCAGGACTCCAGTAGGGAGAGAAAGGGTTAAGCCCCTTCTGTGATCTCAGTAATTATTGACGCCTCCAACAGCTGCTGGTTGCATTTAAAAATAAGAAGGTGTGCTGCATGCAAAGACACATTTGACAGACCATTTTGTTTGGCCCCAAGGCATTGTGGGGTTTCTGGTCCTGGCTAAGGGCTGGGAAGAAACAGGAAGGAGGAAGGATTAAGGATAACATGATACTGTACTACTGTACTATGGGTCCAGCTGGGTCATGACCAATAGTACTACTGTTCTTTTGTGTGTGTTTTTGATATTTAGAAGAAGAAGAAAATAATCTGGTATAAAACTGTGCTATACAGGAAGAATACAAAGCCAGGCAAAGCCATTCATTATGTGAAATGTGTATCAAGAGACTGAAGATCAAGATTCAAAAACTGACATTGCTAAGAGTTGTAAATGGATTTTCTTGTGTAGTCATTGAAAAAATAAATAAGGTAACTCATGTGGACAGTACATTAACAAATGTGAAGTTACCGCCTGTAGATTTGCTGACAGTGTTATGTACTTATATTTCTGGGAGTACCCTGTGTTGTGCGTGTGCATGTGTGTACGTGTATTGTTGAGTGGTGTGTATACTATATATATATATATATATATATTATGTATATACACACACGCTGAGTGAGCAGTTAAGGGAATCCATTTTACTTGTTGCACTTGGATTTTCCAATTGCAGAATTTATATATACTTGTGACTGGCAGAGTGGCACTCAAAGAAGCTTTTTTCCTTTATCGTTTCTCCTTTTCTGTCTCTCTCTCTCTCTCTCTTGCCTTTTGTACAGACGAGGATTTTGTATATAGGTGTTTACTGCAAGGCCTGTGGAATTCAATGAATATAGAGGTATCAACTGCTGCATGTTCAGGCATATTATTAAAAAAAACCACAAAAAAACAAAGTTAGCCTATGAAAGAATAATTATGAATATGTCCATGTGCAATACTCTGTATGTGTATTGGTTCAAGTTACTGTCCGAGATGATTTTCCCACACTTTATTTGTTTGTTTTCTATTATTATTAAAAGAAAGAAAGATGTATACCTATATTAAGCTGTACTAAATCTCCTGTATAGTTAAACTCTATATGGAATGATAGAGATTGGGGTGGGGGGTGGGGAGGAAGGGAAGGGCCATGACTGACAGAAGCACAGGCTAGCCGCAGGCTGCTTTCTCGTACTGTCTCTGTGGCGTGGAGCTTGGAGACTCCTTCCCTCTCCTGCTCAAATAACCCGAGGAGCTCTGGACCACCTGAGAAGAACCCGACGCCTGTGGAAAGCGGTAATGTTTGCACCAGTCATATTTGTGCAACTGACAGGGCCCGCTGCTGACACCTGCAGTGGCCCCTACATTATTACTTTCTCTTTTTTTAAAAAAAGTATGGCTCAGTGCCTTGAGCTGTGCTGGACAGCTGGTCTGGCTGCCACGTTCACTTCCCACAATACGCCTGATAATGGGGCTTCGCTCCAGGGCATTGTGGGAAATGAAAATGGTAGCCCCCTGCTCAGAGCACTGTTGCCTCCCGCCACCAAATAAGTCCATCGACGGAGGAGGGGGCCCACCGGAGAGCCAGTGAAAGCAGCACACACGCCCCAAGTTTGGGCCAGGGGCCTGAAGAGGAGTCTCGACATGGGCTTCTGCCACATGGCCTGCAGTGGCAGGCATCCCTGGTGCATCATGGGCTGGAGCCGCACAAAAGGATTCCCCCCGCTGCACACATAGCCTGAGAAAGTTGGTCCCGGGGATCTTCTCAAACAGGCAGGATAGATTAGCGTCAGCTTTGCGTCTGGCTGTTCATAGCGATTACTATATTCCGTTCCATTGTGGTTTTTCTTTTTTGTTTGTTTTCGTATTTAAACTCAGGTGTAGTGTTTTATATATATGTTATGTGTGCGTGTGTATATATATATATATATACACACACACACATAAATATTGATGATTTCAAAATATTAAATATGCTATATCAAGTTACGTGGTCATGTGTTGTCTAGCTTACCGGTGTAGTAATGGAACAAAGCTTTTAGAATAATTTAATTTATCTTCACTAAAAACTTAAGGGCTGGAGCAGGACGGGGAGGGGGCAGGAATAAAAGGACCCCCACCCCTCCAGCTCACGGAGTGGAAGCACAGAGACATCACAAAGGTCACATCATCTCATTAATTTTATGTTTGTTTGGGGCGGGGTGGGGATAATGTAGAACTGCCCATTCATTTTATGCGTGGTGATATTTCTGCCCTGTGTATTTCTGCAACACGCTAAGCTTTGGCTATCTGAAGCATGAACTTGACAATGCTAAAGTGGTCTTTTCCTTAAGCAAACCAAACAGAGGCTTTGGAGATAGCCAAGTGGCCTCCAGGGGCTGCCCATAAGACTGGCTAGAATGAGGAAACTATCGTACAGTGCACTGTCCTGCTTGTATGGAACGAGAGGCCTTTACACAAAACGGGATTAGCAAAGCCTTTTTAAAGGGAGGCATTGCGTAAAGCAAAATTGTGGAGTGTGCGATTCCCTTGTTCCTGGTGTGAAAAATCACAAACCGTCATTCGTCCTTTTTGAAGCGGGTGGGAAGAAGCCCCATCACCTGCATTCCTTTTTCTACAGGATGCTGAACAGAAAAGCAAATAGCTTCCCACAGGCAGAAACTGCAGCTACAGTTGGCGTCCTCTGCAGTGGGCGTCCTCTGCCTGCCTCGTTCCAGCAAGAGAGGTCCATGCAGGTATTAAATGCCCTTCATTCCGTGAGTGTTTGCCAATGCGTTTGGGATGATGCAGGCCCCCATCTGCGTGGCAATACTCACTTGAACGGGGTTGGGCTGCCCCGACACACCTTCTGATGGGGGGTGCGTCAGCCTCTAAAGCCGCCAGGTTAGTTTTGCAAAGGCTACAACTGCATTGAAGGCTTGTGGGGTTTAAGCAACCTCGCCCGTGTGCAGGGAATGCTGCCTTCAAGTCAGTTTCAAGTGAATACATAGAATTGTAGAGTTGGAAGGGACCCCAACAGTCATCTAGTCCAACCCCCTGCCACGCAGGAATTCAATTCAAGTAGTTTGGTTTACACTAGCGGGTTTTTGTCTCTTAACTTTGAACTTATTTAAAATGAACACACTGTTACATTTCTTCCTCTTCTGTCAAGCTTCTTTTCCACCACCCCTCTTTTTTTTTTTTTTTGTTCAAAGGTGTGCAAAATGCCAAGGGCAAGCAAAAATTTGAAAAATAAATGAATAAATCAGGATATTTTTCTCTATCTCTATTTTTAGAGACACCGTTTAGCGTGCATGTGGGCGGGAGGGAATTCCATATTGTTAAAATAATGCTATCTCTCCAAAAAAAAAGGCTTTTTAAAAAATTAAAAACGGAAAAACAAAGACTTCTTTTGAAATTATGTGCAGAATAGTTCTGGGGGGGGGGGGGAAATATGAAATGTATTCCGTTTTAGAGGAGCAGGGAGGTATTTTTTTATTGTGAGGCTTTCTTTGTACAGAATTTTTTTCTTACGGTTGTAATTTGAATCTCTTGCCATTTGTTAGGGTTATTTCATTGTAGTCATTGTTGCTGTGCCAAATGTACTGTATTCTAAAGGATGTGAATGTGTATTGTTTCGGAACCTAATAAATCAAGGATGTTAAAATCTTATTCCGCATCTCTCACAACTCTTTTCAAATGAACGAAGAGGTTATTATAGAGACAGAGGATAGTATATACATTACATGTCAGCATTATTATTATTATTACTCATTTATATTTTGTTGGCATCCGTCTGTCTTGAGAGACAATGGAGTGCACCTCCAGGGGTGAAGTCCAACCGCTGTGTTAGCAGTACCAAAGTGACTTTTCTTGACTCCAAGCCTGGGCAGTGTGTCTGAAGGTCCTGGGCTGCCCAGACGACAAGATTTCCCCTCTCTTGGTCTCGCTGATGTGGTCCAAAGGAATCATAGAATCATAGAGTTGGAAGAGACCACAAGGGCCATCGAGTCCAACCCCCTGCCAAGCAGGAAACACCATCAGAGCACTCCTGACATATGGTTGTCAAGCCTCTGCTTAAAGACCTCCAAAGAAGGAGACTCCACCACACTCCTTGGCAGCAAATTCCACTGTCGAACAGCTCTTACTGTCAGGAAGTTCTTCCTAATGTTTAGGTGGAATCTTCTTTCTTGAAGGAAGGGGAAAAAAGGAAAGCAGAGCAATACATTTGGCACAAACTTGGCTGTAGAAGTTGCCTGAACTATACTGCTTTATATTTTTAAGGAGGGGGAGAAAAATCTCAAAGTGGTTTATAGTAAAAAACACTCCAGAATAAAACATTAGAGAAGAAAGTAAAGTATAAAGTATACATTCTGAGCAACATAATTAATTAAAAAACAATTTAAAAAGTCAAAAAATAATTTAAAAAGCAGCATAGTTAACAAGAAACTAAAGTATTATTTTAAAGATTTCAATTACAGAATGCACATTTAACACACGTGTGTGTGTGTGTGTGTGTGTGTGTGTGTGTTTAGGGTTGCCATATTTCAAAAAGTGAAAATCCGGACACAAAAATGGTTGAGCTTCTTTTGGCAAAATCTCAAAAAAAAAACCCAACCAAAATTTTTACCTATTTTGGGGGGAAATCGCCAACAGATCAACATTTCCAATATGGGCTACCTGGACATTTTGCCACTTTTTGAAAATTCCACCCAGATGCCATTTTCGGTGGACGAATCCCGGCTATGTCTGGGAAATTCTGGACGTATGGCAGCCCTAATATATTTCAAAAGAAAACATTTCTAAAGAAAGTCAAAAATAAAATGCATATTTAAAGCAGCATAACTGGAAGAAGAGTCATGGGTTAGAGCTGCATGTTTTTGAATTTCATAATACGCAGTTTTGAAATGCACAGAGCTCACCTGAATGTGTTAAAATGGACCCCAAAGCACATAGTCCCAGCAGCCACTGAAATCCTTACATATTTTGGTGCATTTCCGGTTGGTATTCAAAAGAGCAAATCAATCTAAATTCTGCATACCCTGAAAAGGGGTGTTGTCCAAACTATCTCCATTTGCCTAGAAAAGAAGTCTCAAACTTTCCAGACCCAGGATGCACTTTTTAACCCAAACATGCTTTCGGTGACCCATTTTTTAATCTTTTATCATATATTTGATAGTGGTGCGATTGTGGCAAGCGACCTTGGCTCAGGCTGTGAACCACCAGTGAGTTTCCAACCCACCAGTTGAAGGAAGTGACCTGGAAGACATTGCAGCAATTAGATTCTTAAGTGCTGAGTTTTAAGGCCAAAAGCATCTTATCATTTGAAAGAGGATTCGTTGGGGGGTTTTTTTTGTCTTTATGCGAAATTACAGCATCCCCGTGTGTGGGGGGGGGGGGGCGTAATTTACTTAATGCTAAAACCTGTAAGCTAGCTAACGTTTACTCTGTGCACACAAACGAGAAACTGATTTTGGAAGCAGAGAGGATTAACAGCTGGGTAAGTGATAATTCTGGAGCATACAGAGAGCAGCAATAGTATTATTCATCCAGTGAATAATACCCTGACCTTCTGCTCCTTGCCTGTAAACAAGAGATTCCAGGCATTCTCCTTGGAACCATACAATTTCAAGGCAAAAATTAAGCCCAGCCATAAAAGTTCTTCCTTAAGCAACTAGAAGCTGGAAGTGGAAGAATGAGAGACCTTGGAGTGTGACGTTATCGCACCACAAATTCCTCTGGCCGTTGCCTCTTCAGAATCTGAGGAAGCACGCTGCTATGATGAGATCTTTCAAAGGCAGGCCTGAGAAACTGCGATTCTTGAGATTTTGCTGGACTCCCATCAGTCCCAGGTGGCAAGGCCAGGGATGACAGGAATTGGGAGTCCGGCAACATCTCAAAGGTCACAAGCTCCCCCAGCACCTCTTTTAAAGACAGAAAATTCCATATGGCTACATCCCACACCATCCATGGACATGATCATTATTTATTATTTTTATGTATTCAGCTTATATACCTCCCTTTATAAAATAAAATAAAATCCCAGGGTGGTGTACAACAATAATACAGTGGTACCTCAGGTTACATACGCTTCAGGTTCTGATAACCCAGAAATAGTACCTTGGGTTAAGAACTTTGCTTCAGGATGAGAACAGAAATCATGCTCCAGCGGCGCGGCGGCAGCAGGAGGCCCCATTAGCTAAAGTGGTGCTTCAGGTTAAGAACAGTTTCAGGTTAAGAACGGACCTCCGGAACGAATTAAGTACTTAACCCAAGGTACCACTGTAACACATTTCATGGGGCATCAGTGATAAAAATGCATTAATAAAAAGGTCATAAAAGTAAAATAATAGCAGCCCCTCCCTCCACAGCTTTAACAGGCCATAGATTATTTAAAGGCCAAAGGCCTGGGTAAAAATGGATGTTTTTCCCTGGTGCCTAATGATGGCACCAGGAAAACCTCTCTGGGGAGAGCACTCTACAGTCGGGGAGCCACCACAGAAAAGGCCCGTCCTCGTGTTGTCACCCTCTGAGCCTGTTGGGGAGAGAGGGCACAGAGATGGACCTTAGAAACAAGCATAAGGTCTGGGTTGGTTTGTATGGAGTGGGGCAGTCCTAAGGTATTGCAGTCCTGAGCCATATAAGGCTTTCTCAGTAGGCACCAGCTCTTTGAACTGGACCCAGAAACTAATTGGCAGCCCGTGTAGTCGGGTCAGGCTTGGTGTTAATATGCTCAAACTGTCTTCTTCTGGTGAACCACCTGGCCATATTTTTCAGCAAGACCAGCATCAAGGGTCAGCATGACTTGGCCCAGTCCTGAGCAGGTGAGAACCCTCTTGATTTCACCATGGATTGAAAACAGCTTGTTCTCACTCTGGTCCAGAGGGGATGAGCAAGCAAACAAGAGTCAGTGGGGGCAAGGAGGGGCTGCCACTGCCCATTGGGTCTTTCTGGCAAGCAGGCAGGTGGCAGCAATAGTGGTTCGATGTTCTAAATGAAGCGGCAACGCTTGTTCCAGATATTACCACTTCAAACTGGTGAGTGATGGAGATGATTTACGTCAGATTTCCCTGAACGTTTGACCCCTTGGTGAGTTGTCATCAACCCTGAACCAAATTCTTAGGAATGTAAATGAAATAAAGTCAAGAAATACCAACACATTATCAACATTTATCAATCAGCGTTTTTTGTCCAACCCTGGCCCAGCTCTTTATTCATGCCCTGCAGAATCCCATCAACCCCACGGGTTAATATTAATCACCTTGAGACATCTTGGTTTACATGCTTGAATGTGCCAAGGCAGAAAACGTCTCCATGGTCAGAGGCATTGCTAGGTACTTAAAGGACTTGGGGCACAAGCCCATGGCACAAATTTGGGGGGGCGTGGGGATTGCATTTTGCTAATTTATATGCACTGGCGCTTCTGGGCAAATTAAGGTGTGTGGGTCTCACCAGCACTGAGCACTGTACAAGCCTTGATCTGATCCAAAAACAAGGCACTCATGTCCTTCAGAAAGATACAACTAACCTCTTCCTTGCCTTCCCAAAGCAAATACTCAGGCGATATTATACTCTCTCACCCTGCCTAAGGACAGGCCTGGCCCTGATGGAACAAGCTCTGAAGCAATCCACATTAGGCTGAATCCAGAGCTTTGTGGACAAATAGTCTCTCAAAATTCTGCATGCTGTTATTGGGCAGGTCAATTTGGGGCAGCGGGGGACCATTTCATCAAATCTCTCCAGGTGGAGTAGAAAGTCTTTAGCAATATCAGCAGCAGAGCTTCTTCTTTTTCTCCTTTTTCTTTTCTTTTCTTTTTTTTTGGTGGAGGTGAGAGGGTTTGGATGCCATTGCAGCAACTGTGTTGGCACAGCTCAGCCAACCGCTTTGCATCCTCCACAATCTGCTGGGACCAAGTCCCCATCTATGTTATACATTCAGAGGCCTAGGAAGGTCAGGTGGTACCTGGTGCGGAAAATTTCTTGTCACCCCCCCCCAATGATCCCCCCCCCTGCAAAAATGGTTTTACGTTATTTCATATTTTCTTACAAAGGAATGTGGATTCTGGGCCTCTGGTAACAAGTAGGCGACTGTGGACAGATACTTAAATCTACAGGATGGACTGTGTTTTGGCTTGTGTTATTTTATTTATATTTATTGTTTATTTATTTAATAAAATTTATTTTTAAAAACCTGCAAAGTGGTTTACCAAAACAAAAACAAAAAAACCATAGCAGTAAAATCAAGAAAAATTAACAATCCTACTTTAAAACATACAAAAGCTAAAATATTAAGATTAAAATTACTTCAACTTCCTAAGCATCTAGGAATGCTTGCCTAAAGAAGAATGCTTTTAGCAGGTGCCCGAAAAGAGTCTAGCAAAGGCACGTGCTTTGTTGCAATAAGCGGGGAGTTCCAAAGTGCAGGTGCTGTCACAGTAAACAATGCAGTACAGATATTATGTGTATATCTTGACCCTGCTCCACTGAATTGAAATTTCAGGATTCACGACATAGGAAAACGGCCAAGTAAACAGCTATTTTCGTGGAGGAGGGTGAAGATATTAACTGATATGCATGAAATTTCATATATAGCTATATAATCCCTAGTGTGGTAAGATAAGACCTTTGGAGCAGGCATTTTTTTTAAAAAAAGGTTTTTTTATGAACCGGCC